ACATCGCAAATTTTTCTGATATAAAGCAATTAGAATAACTTGATATAGGCCCGTATACATGTAACGATTGCAATTACTTCAAAGTGGAGGGGGAGACGGGGCCCAAAAAAATCCTCGTACTACATGTGTACCTTTCCAATAATAGAATCATCCGTACAAATCAAAAACAAGTTGCAGTATTGATATTCCCATTTTTTTTTAAAATAACGAGACTATAATGGACTTCACAAGGGTAGAATTTAACTTTAATTTATGTACATGAGCAATTAAAATCACTATCAAATTTGGCAGAGTCATCGATAGGTCATCCTGTGTCACCCTTCAGTGTAACCGATGAACTCGTCCATAGATACCTCAGCAGATGAGAAAAGCGCGGGTACGCAGCACATTTTTTTTCATTCGTCAAAGCATAGAATCCGACATTCAACACTTTTAAATCATGTTCAAGAAAACCTTTATATTTAAAGAATGACTCTAATTCTTGGCCAAATTATCGAGTATAATATGGTTTGGGTCAGTTTACCCTTTATAATCCGCGAAGCGGATTATAAAAAAGCGTAAACTGATCCAAACCATATTATACTCGATAATTTGGCCAAGAATTAGAGTCATTCCTTATAATTTAATTTTAAAATAATTATTCAACTGGGGATGTAAAATTGTGTTGTTTTTATGAGTTCAAATCTACCGCGCAATAATACAACCGTAGTAACGGAAGTGATGGGAAGCGAGGGGAGGTAAAAACTGATACATAGATCTAGCAGCCATGATGTTTGTTTACATGAGGTTAGATCGAGTAACTGTTTGAAATTAAAGGTACATTCATTAAATCTGGAATTTTCCATGAATCCCAAGAACTGGAAATGAGGGGATTGATGGATACAGATGAGTATGCTGGTTGTCAAGGGGGTGTGTCCCCATACCAAACCAGATTATACAAAATGTTATGTGTTCCTTTTTGGAAATCAACCAATGAGAGGCAAGAATACAAGCAAAATTAAATTATTTGTGTATAGAAATATTCTTACGATTAGCGCAAATGACATATTTTCTTGATCTTAAATCTAGGACTCAAGTAAAAATCAAAGAGCGGTAATGTTGACCTAACTAATGTATACAGGTCAATGCGCGATCGATAAATGGGATTTCATAACCATGTGATAACTGTACACACAAAACACGCACACTGTATACACAAAACTTTCAGGCTCCGAGGAAAATTCACGATGCATGAATTGAATGACAGTGAATTATCTTTAGCTCGAATTCTATTTTTTTTAAAATAAATAATGCTACATTGAATATTAATACTTAAAAATATTTTTACTCTCTACCGTCTTGTTCTTTAAACTAAACAAAGGGAGAAAGTTGTCTCTGAATAATCTGTATGACATCCAGCTAGAGAATTCGTTAAAAATCTTATTTCAACAAAGTTTAACATTCAATTTATCTAGATTTATTATTCTTATCCAATTATTTTCAGTTATACGTGTTATACGCGTAATCATATAGAATTCTTCTTCACTTGCCGTATAAAATCACTTACCTGTACATGGACTATAAAGTTTTCTGCTCATCTAATAACACATGACGTGAATAAAATAACGTTTTCATGAGATCAATAAGATGCTAAAGAACCCATTTCAAATTGATAACCATATCGAAATATTTACCGTTTTTAAGTTATAAAGCAAAAACTTTCGAGCGCCCTTGACCCCTAATTTGAGGGGCCAGTCCCTTTTTAATGATGTCAAATGATGGAGCTTAAAATTATGCACAATATTTGTTCAATATGTCTTAACAAATTATTTGTAGTTTAAAAGATACATAAGGAAATAGAAGTAAATTTTTGCGCTTTTAGGCATTCTCATTTTTGACCCCTATCTAGCACCGTTTTGAGCGCAGAAACCGAAAAAGAAAAACCGATGTGCACAACTTCAATTCTTCTAGTATTTAAATGCAGTAGACATTCTGCTCCAGCTTTTGTAGTTTCTGAGCCTTTGTCTGGAAACAAACAGCTCCAAATTTTCATTTAAAGGGAAATAACTCAAAAGCGGAAGGGAATTTTTTAAATGTATGAAAACATTTAAATTAAGTTATGTAACATCCAAAAACTCTGAAAATTTGAGCGAAATCCGTTAAGAAATGAGCAAGTTACGAGGTCTCAAAGTTGGCGTCTAGGGAAAAAAAAAGAATAATAGGAACTAGAGGCGAGCTCGTTGCAAAGCAACGAGTAGGTCTTCCGTCGGAGCTGCGGACAGGGAGAAATGACCTTGGGTCAAGGTCATTCCACGTTCTAATGTTAAAGCAATCTTTACAGGGTAGATGTCATCTTATTTATGTTTTACTATTAAAAAAGATAGTAAAGGAATGTTTGCGACCTTGACCTTATTAAAATGACCTTACGTCACACCATGACACACGCTGGTGATAAGCAAAGCCATTTGTATGCTACCGTATTGACGAATTCTTAAGATATACTTTTTTCGATAGGCCTTGTCACAGCTAATACGTGTATACATGTGTAAATCTAGGTATGAAAGCGTTATCCTTTCTTTATCAAAAGTCATGGTCAATTTTAAGCAATGTTTAAAGCCGGTTAAACTTCAAGGTCAAAGTTCATTATATGCTAGTATTTGAAATGATTTTATCACAGGTTACATACATTTGATTTTTGTGTAATACGAAAACCCTATCTCTTCTCATTCAAAAGTTATGATCAAGATTAAAATTGTGAAAAGTAAGTCAAGCCTCAAGGTCACGTTGTCAAAATCAGCGTATCGGTATTTAAAAAAATGTTGTTACAGGTAATACACAGTGGTAAAATAAAAGCCCTAATCGATCTCTTTTCTCTCAAAAGGTATGACTATGGTTAATGTTTTTGAAAAGTGGGTCAAACTTCAAGGTCAAAGGGTCAAAAATCATAATGAATTTTCAAAGGCGTTGACACAGGTATTACATGTACATGTTTATAAAATGAAAGCTTTCAATAGTTATGGTCAATTTAAAGCAATGTTATTTTTTAAGTAGGTCAAGATCAAGGTCACGGAGTTAAAAATCACAGTATATTTGAGAATCAGATGTCACAAATTATGCACATGTGAAATATGAAAGTCCTATTTCAACTCATTCAATAGTTATTATCAAGTTTAAAGTTCTCGTGACAGATGGACACTGTCAGACTGGTTGACAAATAAGGTTTAATGTGCCCTAATAAAAATAAATACACGTTATTTGAACATGATAAATTGAGAAATACGAAGAATAAAAAACTAGAAAATATTAGAAAAAATTGCACTGAAGCTATATTCAATATCCGTGTTTTTCAACTGCTTGAATCTAAAAATATTATTTACCGTGTGTCTCTAACACATTCCTTAAACTTTTCTACAGTTAAACATTCCTTACAACCGTTTTTAATAGTCCTTCTGATCCTGAACTTGAGATAATGTGGATGGCACTGTAGCTCTCTGGTGATCCATCTCAATTTTTTTAGAACAGCTAGCGAGCTACAGATCTGCAGCATGCCAATTGTCATAAAGTTAATTTTACAAATTCATTTGAAATGTAACAGAATTGAATTTTATGAAACGAATTATTTCTAATGCTTATTTTTAACATATGCTAAAATTATTTACCTATCAAGTTAAGTTAAGACAGTTAAAAGGAATTTGATACTCAGTATTTATATTAGGAATTAGTGTCACTCCTCAACCTCAGAGCGTTCGACTTGTATGATAATTGCGTATGTGTGATGAAACTGCCGTGAGCTATCCCGGACATGAACATTAGATGTACTGGACATTCCGTCATCAAGAAAATATAGTTTTACTCTGGACTATTCCGAGTTACCAAAACGTTTGTTTGTATGTCCATGTGTCAGCGGTTCAACCTGTCTTTGTTTTATGAGACTTGGCTTGATTTATTTTTCAAAATATAAACTTTAACGTTTTATTGCTTGACTTTCGTTTTATAAATCATTTGTGCTACTGTCACCAATTATATTCTATTAATTATAGATACAGGGAGTATGATCCCTTTACACAACTTTCCGCTTAGTGTACTACCCTCCTACAATGCGTTTGCAGCACAAGCGCTTTGCTTCGGAGTCCATCCCCTACTAAGATAACAGACATACAGACAACTCAGATCAGACCCATCCAATCATGTAAACACCTGTAATGATAACACATGTATTAAGTTTATCACTTTATTATTGATACTTTTAGCACAAAAACACACATTTGTTACAATCAACGTAATTGGAGATAAAAAGGCCGCAATTTTTTGTGGGGGACGGGGGATACCTACAAATGTACCAAATTAACAATGGGCACATGGGGGGCCGAGTGTAAGCACAAGTGCCCGATCCGAACGGTCACCACGTTCTGGACCAGTGAATGCGGGACTGCCCTTCTCCCTGTCTCCAGCGCCACCTGGTGTACTCATTTACTTTACCAGACTGTGGCCTCCCCCCGCTTGTGCGAGGTGGAGGTGGAACCAGCCATGACAGGCCATGAACCACGGATGTTACCATATCATGTTACTTTAGACAACTTATGTGCTACATGTACTTATGTATCACATACCAAAACGCCCCCCTGCTTTGAGGCAGGGTGGGGAGACAACCAGGTTATGGGGCCACTTGATCCCAACATACACAAAGTTATCCCCCAGTCCCCGCCCCCCATCCCGGAATTGCGACAATAAAGGGTTAAAGGATAATTTCCCAAATATGATTTTCCCCATTTATAATTAACCAGGCTTCCCCTGTTATGAAAGTGTTCATGGTAGTTAATTTACACTACATGCGCTAGAAAGTCTGATAAACTGGTGAAAGCGTGTAATTAGTCCTTGATGGTCAAAGGCTCTGCGCTTCTCACACTTTCCTACACTGATGGGTGCATGGTATCCCCATGGGTCCACGTTCCAGTGTCCTGCAAGATAAAACAAAACACAGCAGAAAGGAAAAACTCTTAAATTATGATAAGCAATGACCTTTCAACTAATAATTACAGGGGTGGGTGGGCTGGGAAAAAAGCGTCTGGTTTCAACAATTTGCTGGTTTGAAAAGGGGGATAACTTCCGGTGCACATTTATGATTAACTCGTACACAGTTTGACTCGTAATACATCTTTGTATATTCCTGATGTAATACCTTGTGTACACTTCGGCCCAACTACCAAACATTAAAAACCCTGTCCTAAATTAATTATTTACTATTTGATATAAAATCAAATAATCTTGATTAATTATAGATACAGGGAGTATGATCCCTTTACACAACTTTCCGCTTAGTGTACTACCCTCCTACAATGCGTTTGCAGCACAAGCGCTTTGCTTCGGAGTCCATCCCCTACTAAGATAACAGACATACAGACAACTCAGATCAGACCCATCCAATCATGTAAACACCTGTAATGATAACACATGTATTAAGTTTATCACTTTATTATTGATACTTTTAGCACAAAATCTCACATTTGTTACAATCAACGTAATTGGAGATAAAAGGCCGCAATTTTTTGTGGGGGACGGGGGATACCTACAAATGTACCAAATTAACAATGGGCACATGGGGGGCCGAGTGTAAGCACAAGTGCCCGATCCGAACGGTCACCACGTTCTGGACCAGTGAATGCGGGACTGCCCTTCTCCCTGTCTCCAGCGCCACCTGGTGTACCCATTTACTTTACCAGACTGTGGCCTCCCCCCGCTTGTGCGAGGTGGAGGTGGAACCAGCCATGACAGGCCATGAACCACGGATGTTACCATATCATGTTACTTTAGACAACTTATGTGCTACATGTACTTATGTATCACATACCAAAACGCCCCCCTGCTTTGAGGCAGGGTGGGGAGACAACCAGGTTATGGGGCCACTTGATCCCAACATACACAAAAGTATCCCCCAGTCCCCGCCACAGGACATAGACACTATGTCCCCCCACAAAAATTAAGTACTTGAAATAAAACATTGAGTTAATTTGGAGGATATACATTGGTTCTCTTGTTTAAAAACATGTGTAGAGCAGACTGCAGGTTATTAAGGTAAACCTCAAGTTCAGTTTTTGACAAATGGGTACCATCATGCCTGGACAATTGTATTTCCGAGATTTTAATGGTTGAGTAATTGTTTATGTAACAGCCATTTACTTCAGTAGTTATAAACTTTTTGATAGACTTGTTAACTTTGAGCTGTTTCTTGTTAATTTTTGCACTTGCTGTTGGAGAGGCACCATGCCAGTACAGCTTAGGTAACATTGAGGAAAAGATTAAAGTGGTACTTGGAAAAAGTGCGTTATAGCGATACAGGCTGCACTGTATTTGATGAATAAGTTTAATGCTTGTTAAATCTGGTGTACTTAAATCATTAGATCCAAGGTGTATCAATAGAAATTTGGGTGGAGAATACTGAAGTAAATAATCAGAAACTGCCTTGTCTAACTGATACCAATGCATACCCCTATGCCCTAACCAAGTAATTGTGGCAGGTAAATTAAGGTTACTTCCCCCTGATCGGTAGGTTGCAGCATGATGGCCTGCCCAGAATGGAATTGATGATCCCATTATCCAAATGGTTGGGGTACCTGAAAAATCTTTGGTAGAGTTAGTAAATGCTACAATAACGGGGAACAACTTTACTGTCTCCTAATGTAAGTTAAATATGAAGTTGATCGCCACCTTCCTTTTGCTTTTATTTCAGTATCCGAGAGTCCTTGTTTGGCAAGCTCGGTTGCCATGCCGATTCTGAAACTGTGTGACCTAAAGTGCCCGGTGACCCCAAAGAATTGTAATGCTTTTTGTAAAATGACTTGAAACTGATACTTTGTAAGTGGCTTAGCATTTAGATGTGTAAGGAGCTTGTCATTTCTTTGTAAACCCTCCCTTAAAAGCAAAAAACAAAGAAAAAAATTATTTAAGATTGTGATTGGGCGATAGTGGATTCAGTATGAGAGGCGATATCTACTATTTATATAACAGATTGACCAGTTTGGTCCGTTTTAGACCTTTGAATAGTGATCTGGCAAAGGTTTCGATTCTTTATTGTAATGTCTGAGAAATTGAGTGCCAGTGTTTCACTCACTCTTAGGAACCATTAAATGTAAGAGTAAATGCTGCTGAAAAGAGAGTGGATTCATATCCAGAATTGCAAACATTGGGCAGGGAATGGATAATAATTTTTGTGAAAAAGCTCAAATGAAAATAGGGGTTCTTTTGTCTTTGTTTGTACCTACTGATCTACGCAGCCCTTCCAGGGTTTTAGAAACTATGAAACTTGTTTGTGTGTGTGTCCTGAAAGCCATGTATTTTGTGTATGTATGAGATTGCATTTAGGTACAGTGATACTGTTCTGTATGACATATTACTAACTATTAGTAACTAAGTGAGAGGGAACCAATAAAATTCACAAGCTGTTGCACTGGTTCTGGCCAAATAATTTGGAAATTAATGAAAGACAAGTCTAGACTTGGCAAGGTGGCTCTGCCATAATTTAATAGCGACTACGACGGGGAAAAGTTCCAGGAAAGTCATGTCCCTAGTAATACTTAGTTCAACCCAAAGGCTTGGCCAGACCCCATAAGCCCATTTCCCCCTAAACATTTGCTAAAGTAGATACCAAACCCTCCAAAACCAACCCCCCCTGAGATATCTGTGAAAAAGCTGAATTGTGAATCCAGGGCTGGGTAAATATAACTGATATGCCATTGTAAGATTGCAAAAAAGTTTTCCATACCGTGAGGTCAGCTTTTATGTTCTTTGTTACCCTTCTTCTGTGAAATGGTTGGTGAAGAAAAAAAAAAGGGGGGGGGGCTGCGACTCGTTTTAATGCTAGTTCTTTTTGAATTTTACTTTCAGCTATTACTGTATTAGCCTTGAGGCTAGGGAGGTTAGAAGAATTGTGGGTTGTCCTGAGGCCCAAATATTGAAGATTAAAACCATACTTAAACCCTGGAATATGAATTCACAATCAGAGTATCCAACTAAATATTTACATAAATTTTGTACAAATGTAACTTGATTAGTGTTGTACCCAAAGAATATATTGAACCATTACTTTGAACACCGGATACTTGGGTGGTTAGCTTTGCACCTGCTGCATGCATGTCTGTACTTGCACTTAGGGAAGAAAGGGCAACTTACTCCCTTGTTAAAATGATTACAATAAAATTCCAAAGTACGGTTTGGATTGCTTGGGTAAGAACTTTGACTTTGAGAAGAGGTTCGATTATACGTTTGAATAGTTTCGTCCTTGTTAGATATGTACAAAAGCCAAAATTCCTGATTAATTTGACCCCATGACAACTGGGGCTGGTTGGCCATTTTTAAACGAAATTGCTCGTCATATTTAAACCAATTATTTGACCTAGTAGCAGCGATTCTGATATCTCTGAGATACTTGAGTAGTTCTTGAGCCCGTGTTGGAAATTTCTCCAACATTATGCTTGTAAATATAATAAAAGCTGATGTCCACTTATCGATTGTGAGAATGGTATTTGTTTTAGGTTTCACAATGCATAGCCGCCCTTCTTTGATTTGTATGTCCCCTTGTGATTCATTATCTTGTAATTCACAAGCTGTTTTAGTAAGCAGTGAGAGATCTATCAATTTGCACTCCCATATTTGTTTTTTAATTTTCTGAGGGACGTGTGAACCTACGGAATCATAACAACTGATATCTTGTAGTGGTTGACTTGAAAAATTTGAATTTGACTCACCGCTTCCACTGGGGATTCCAGGGATGCTTTGTTCTATTTGTGGTGTCAACCTCGGTTGTATAGTATCGGATGGCAGAGGAAGTGCGGGAATTCCTTCGGCGCCTGTTGCCTCGGCCGGGGCCCGGCGTGTTGGCGAGAGATTTGTCCTGGGCCTAGTGCTTTGCCTGCACCGGTGCCCTCTGCCTCTCGATGGGGTTCCTATAGTCTCCCTCCGCTTCCTGGACGCTCTTTTGGTCATTGACGTTCTAACTGGTGGCATAATTTCGGTTCTGTGGACGTGATGGCCTTTGATTACTTAGTGTAGAAAAAAGCGTCTAGTTTCAACAATTTGCTGGTTTGAAAAGGGGGATAACTTCTGGTGCACATTTATGATTAACTCGTACACAGTTTGACTCGTAATACATCTTTGTATATTCCTGATGTAATACCTTGTGTACACTTCGGCCCAACTACCAATTCAGGAAATCAAATGCAGCGAAAACTGGTACCCCCCCCCCAAAAAAAAATAGTACATGTAGTACATGTACACACTTCGATGCTCGATTGTACACTCTAGAAATTAAAAAGTTTATGAATAAAAAAGTTTAGTGAGGCATACTCATCTCTGCCGACCTTTTCTTAAATTTATTTGACAACCTGCGAATTAAAAACAATATCGCGTATGATTTTTGGTTAATATTAAAATAGGTTATGGAGTAATCATGGATTCCAACACCAGCCCTGACCTGCCATTCTCGACTCTGAAGGAAAGCATTGTATCATTTCAGGGGGTTACGTATTGCAATGAGAGGAAATTTAATAATTTAATCTCTTTTAGTCCAATAAACACGAAAGAAAGGCTTGGAATATTTGTATGAAATTACAGAAAGAAATTTTGCATTTGTTAGAGGAATTTCTAATTATTCTTTTTTTTTTCTCGTAGTCTTAAATCTCATGTTGGGTGCTCTAGCTTCTGTGTAAAACAGCATGTAGTTTAGTTAATATCATGTACATGCACATAAAATCGTGTCATTGTGATATTCTAGCTTTTTATTTGAGGAAATAGAAGAAATTTATGAGCATATCATTTGGAAAAATAAAATGATAAGTTATGTAGCAAATTATGCAAAGCTCAAAGTTACTAATTTTATTTTCGATTTTCATGAGAATTGAAAACGTCACTTCCACTTACAATATACTGTGTGCATTTGTCATGTTTATTTGTAATCAACATCGCAATTTTTTCTGAAATAAATTAAGCAACAATTAGAATAACTTGATATAGGCCCGTATACATATAACGATTGCAATTACTTCAAAGTTCAGAGGGAGACGACGGTGCCTAAAAAATGTGTACCTTTCCAATAATATAGAATCATCCGTTCAAATTAAAAACAATTAAGTTGCAGTAGTGATATCCCCGATTCTTTAAATAACGAAACTATAATGGACTTCACAAGGGTAGAATTCAAACATTAATTTATGTACATGTGCAATTACAATCACTATCAAAATTGGCAGAGTTATCGATAGGTCATCCTGCGTCACCTTTCAGTGTAACCGATGGACTCGTCCAGAGAAATCATCTGTACCTGAGCAAAATCGCAGCGCCTCTTATTCATTCGTCAAAGAATAGAATCAGACATTTTATCTTTAAATACTCGTACATGTTCAAGAAAACCTTTATATTTGTGTCTAGAAATATTCTTACCATTTACGCAAATAACAAATTCTTGATTTTAAACTGAGTAAATCGATGACTAGCATCGTTTTAGATAACTCTGGGACTCGCGTAAAAATCAAAGAGTGGTTATGTTGACCTCCGGAATGTATGTAGGTCAATGCATGTGCGATCGATAAACAGGTTGCACAACTGTAAACAAAGCAGTCAAGGTCCGACGAAAATTCACGATGCATGAATAAAATAAAATGACAGTGAATTATTTTAAGCTTGATTTTTTTTTATAAATAATGCAACATTGAGTATCAATCGAATGAGAGATGATAAGTATTTTTCCTATCTCCCGTCTTGTAATTCAAACTAAATACAAGGAGAAAGTTGTTTCTGAATAATCTGTATGACATCCAGCTAGAGAATACGTTAAAAACTTTATTTCAACAAAGTTTAACATTCAGTTTTGTTAAGTATATTATTCTTATCCAGTTTATTTCAGTTATACGTGTTATACGCGTACGCATAAAGAATTCTTCACTTGCCGTATAAAATTAATCAGTTACCTGTACATAAAGTTTGCTGCTCATTCAATAACACAAGATTCGAACAAAATAACGTTTTCATGAGATCAAGAAGATGTTAAAGACCCATTTCAAATCGATAACCATATCGAAATATTTACCGTTTTGAGTTATAATGCAAAAACTTTCATGCTCCCTTGACCCCTAATTTGAGGGGCCAGCCCCTTTTTAATGATGTCAAATGATAGATCTTAAAATTATGCACAATATTTGTGTAATATGTCTTAACAAATTATTTTTAGTTTAAAATATACACAAGGAAATATATGTAAAATTTGGCGCTTTTAGGCATTCTCATTTTTGACCCCTATCTAGCACCGTTTGGAGCGCAGAAATCGAAAAAGAAAAACTGATGTGCACAACTTCAATTCTTCTAGTATTTAAATGCAGTAGACATTCTGCTCCAGCTTTTGTCGTTTCTGAGCCTTTGTCTGGAAACGAACAGTACCAAATTTTCACTTAAAGGGAAATAACTCGAAAGCGGAAGGGAAATTTTGAAATGTATGAAAACATTTTAATTGAGTTTTGTAACGTCCATAAACTCTGAAAATTTGAGCGAAATCCGTTCAGAAATAAGCGAGTTACGAGGTCTCAAAGTTGGCGTCTAGGAAGAAAAAAAAAAGACTAATTGGGAATAATCTTAACCATCAGAATCAGTAGAAGGTCTTCCGCCTGAGCGGAAGACCTTAATAATCTTAACCATCAGAATCAGTAGAAGGTCTTCCGCCTGAGAGGAAGACCTTAACAATTTGTTCCCCAACTACGTTTGGGGAACATAATTACATTCAAGTTTACGCATGTAGCATGTGTATATTGATAACTATTGAGTGTTGTGCATTGAAGACAAAAAGATTTATCCATTTGAACCGAATCAATTCTCTGAGATTCTTAATGATTTACATTTTATATGTCTGAATATAATGTTATCAAGAATGAAATTGGTTAAACTGGCATTTTATATAAAAAAAAATATAAAATTTACTTGTACCTCAGGAAACATATGTATAATTTTCAACAAAAGACAGGTGAGACAATTCATATTAATTAGATAAACATACGTTAATTTTATTGGAATGTTTGTTTAAATGCTTCTTCATGATAATCATACTACATGTAATTATTACCTCATTATTCACACATTGGGTTGTCAACGGATTTCTCCCCGTTATTTTCGGCGTAAAACAAAAAGAAATGACTTAATAGAGAATCATTCTTTGCATATCTATATGTGTAAAAATATAAAAAAGAGTGACGATAATCAACACATAAAATATCAAACAGAATTTTCATTTCCGAGGAATGTGCCGATAGAAAAAACAAAAACGAAAATATGCAACACTATATTGCATTTGTCAAAATGTTTTTATTTACCTATTTTTAGTTTGGTTTCCCTTTATGTAATCTAAAAAAATAAAGACAGGATGTTGCTAATAAATTGCAGAATTAGCTCTCATTTCCTGCTCCATTTAATGAAGAAAACAAATATTCATACGCAGTATAGATGAATAACTTTTCTTCCTGTATGTGATATCATAAAAGCAGAACCTCATAGAAGCAGTATCAGCAATGTATTTATTTTATAATATTTTCACCGTTTTAGTATTATTCTCAACGCATCTCGATTTCTTCATTGAAAGTAAGGAAATCTGCACCCTGCACAGGTAAAAATTTATATTATTAATTAAAAACGACGCCTTATCAATTCCATACGAAAAAAATAACGAACGGAAATTGAAAATAACCTACTGATTGTGCAATTATTGAAAATGATCATGTATCAGGAACTTTTTAACGGGGGGGGGGGGTATCACTATAATTTATCAAAAAATGCTACTAATATATTTACGCACAATTTGATTTAAATATAGGTCAATATCTGATTTCGACTTCCTCACTCATATTGTTGAATCAGTAATAAGTCTCAGAGGAAATGTACTCCGTTTTTGTAATAGTGATCATTTGTGTCTTTAAATAGATGTCCATCCTTTGCCCTATTGCTGATTTGTGATTATTATTTTAGTATTTAACAGGTGATTGTCATATATTATATTAATTTATAACCCTTTGTTATAAGCCCAAAATAGGACAAAAAATAAATTTATATATGATTCTTTTTAGAAGGAACGATTGTATGAACTTGAGTAGGACACTGTATTTTAAATGAAGAATCAATCGAAATAACTGAGAAGGTATTCTTTATTATATAATCAATGCATAATAATAATCATAGAAGGTTGTAATAATTTATTTCTTAATTTTTTTTTTACAGAAACTTGACAGGGACTGTCTCTTGTTGTGCTAATTATTACAAAGACGATAAAGGAAATTGCAATCGTGAGACTTCATCCTTTAAAATATACTATTTTTTTTTTACATTTTTGTCACTGCGTCATATGTCCGTTACTACTCGTCTATTTAAAAATATTTCAGAACTTGCTACAAAGGAAGCAGTATTTATTGAGATCTTAAATTTCTTGTTTATATTATTTTTTCCTCGATGATTGATTAGGTCTCATAAATACACAGTAATATTTTTTCTGCTTTTATTTCATGTATCATCGTGTAGTGTATTTAAAATCACCTGAGCCTGCTTTTAATTTAGTTTGTGCGCCAGGATATTATGGGGATTCTTGTGAAATTCCGTGTCCAAGTGGCAGCTTCGGGGTGGACTGCGGTGGACAGTGTCCCTGTTCTGCTGAAGACTGTAACCATGTCACGGGGTGTTCTCGTCAAAGTACATCAGTCGTCACAGTTACAGGTTAAACTTTACCTTTATAGAGCAAATCACAGCAGATTGATATAACGTTTCTGATTCAGATTACAAATATGCGAAATGCTAACAATACCACAGAATAAAAAATGAATTGAATTACCATTTAAGGTTATCCGGTCCTCAGATTCTGAAAATCAGGCACTGAGTAATTGAAAATACTCACAAAGATGTCTCTATATTCTCAAATTAAAATATTTTTACCCACGGTATTTCTTTAAACGTCATCTTTAAATTTAATCATATTATATAGGGAAAATTAGTAAATCTGAAATATTTTTTCCAGGAAATGCGATTTAAACTACCTACTTAATTTTTTTTAATTGATAATTGATCAAGAAATACATTTTAGGAATAAAAATCATAGGTATCCAGGCTTTTAAGGAAAATTGCTTGAATGCTACACTTATTTAGTACTTTACTTTCACCTAGTTACTTCCATCGTTTCATAATGCATAGTGTATGAAGTGTTTCCTTTCAAAAAAACACCGTAAATCACTTCTAATTTCAAATCATGCTTACAAACATGGGTAACTAAGGCTAAATTAAAAGAAATTTGATTTTTTTTAAATATGCAAGGTTAACTTAATTTTATGAGGTACAAATGTCACATTTTTTAATACCGCTTGTTAAAACTTTAAAGAACATTGAATCATACGTAGAGGCATACAATGAAAATTGTTGCATGGAAAAATTTCATTTTCAAGCTTTATTTTAAGACTTTTTTAATTAAATTATAAATTAAAGAGTTATCCTTCCTGGCTGAGGATCGTATATCCTTAAGTCATATTTTATGTATCTAAAAATCAACCCATGTTCATCTTTTTAAAATAAAAGTTGCAATAGGCCAAGTTTTCGAGTTACCGTGAATCCTAGTTGACTCTAGAGGAGAAGCTTTAATTAATGGCCACACAGTGAGGTCAAGGACAACTGACAGTCAATGTGCAAGCAGACACTAATATTTTCCTATCTATTTTCATGTAAAGAACAGAGGATATTGTAAATATAACTTGCCATATTTTTGAGCCTAGGGTCTCAGTAAGATACGTTAGAAATGTCATGGCAATTTAGTTGAAAAAAAAATGGTAGATATATTGTAGGATCATGTATGAAGTAAAAGATTGTTTATCATTTAAAAAAACGCAAATTTAATTAAAAAGTGTACGTTTTGTTTAAAACGTTCATATACTCATTTACGATTTATCATACCAAAAGTCTCTGCAGAAAAAGAAATGGAAAGATATTCAGTAACTTATTAGCTTATTTGACTGTTAAGTCTTTAGAGTTTTCCTTTGCAATCAAATGGATCAGAAAAAAAATAAAATTCACTCAATTCAGGATTAAAAAATAATGTGTTATTGTATAAATTATAAAAAAAAAAAATACGGCAATAAGAAAATATATTGCTTTTACAATAATTAGGTAACGAGGAGCTTAATCTGAATAGGACACAAATAACAACGGAAGAAGTATTATCTACATCATTGATACCCAAAACACCCTTTACTCTTAAAGAAAAGAAAACATCGCATACAACATCACCAGCATTTATAACTAGCTCAAAAGTTGTGTATTCAACAAATGAACCAACAGTTGCTCTGTCTGTAACTGATTTCACAACTACAACAGAAATGTTTAACAGTAATTATTTACTGTTTGGAGTGGGGATAGTGTTAGCAATTCTACTGATTGTTATCATTCTACAACTTCGTTCGAAATCAAAATCAGCACAAAGAATGATTTCAAGAGGAAAAAATCAAGAACAGATTGAAATGAACTTACCAAGCGATTTGGCATTGAGACCAAGTGCGAATGATAAAAAGCAGTATAGCAGTTTGAATCAGGGTAAAGAAAAATTACATGTTTATCAGCAAGTTGAGTCAGAGTATGAGGACATTGATCGATGCTTAGAAATGATAGATGTGTCGCCAGGAGAAGATTTTCAAGGACCTAAATCTGTCTTGCTCAATACTTTACCGTTACCCCTGAAAACAAACAAAAGAGACAGACATAAGACTGAACAATATATTGAACCAATGACAAATGTTGAGTCGATTTTGGAAACTTACTTGGAGCCTATTAGTTCGGAAACTGGTAGAGTGAGCATTAAAGATCCACAGCGGCATTCGTACATAGAAATTTTGGATTCAGATGAAATCATACTTGAGGAGAGGAAAGACGATAGACTAAATGAAAATACAAGTAAGTCATCATCTTCATATGATGATGTTGTAGTCGAATGTATTACGCCTTCTTTGGACAGGGATAAAGGAAATCATGCAACGTATTTAGATGTTGTCTTTAAATGAAACACCCAGATTGATCGCACATAAAATCGACTCATTAAACATTTCTCACGGAAAAGACTTTATTTATTGTATGTTTAATCGACGCTTAAATGTATTACGCACCTGGAGGTATATTGGATGTGATTGAAATTCTAGCTGCGTTTGATAGCTATTTGATTAAAAGTGTGATCGTTCAAATATAAATTGAATCGAATAATCAAGAGTTTCCTTTTACAGAAATTATGTTCATAATGATCGAAGGAAATTAGAGTCACTTGCTTACTAACATATACTGATGCCTACATATTATATCGCATGTATGTGGTTATTTTAATGAGCTATGAAGCTATGAATAAAAGATTTTTTTTTATTACTTTCAAAAGTTTGCTTGTTCCCATAGACGTCAATACATCCATTATTAATTAATTACTGCTTAGGCACCGGCGGGGGGGGGGGGGGGGGGAGGATTGTGTTTTTGAAAAAAAAATGGTCAATATGTTTTCTGCTCTACACTGCTTTAAGTTAGTTTCAGAGTTTTTAATACATGGTGAATATTTAAGGTAAAAAAATTATGTCTTAATTTTGGTCGGATACAACCTAATGATCAAACATTCTGTTCACTACTTAGACGTTACATCTAATATACGTAAAATACGTATACTTTTCATACATAGTAGTATATATTTATTTCATATTATACCCTTCGTTAACTTATCGTACATATATAGTTTCAGTTAATGGGCATCAGCTTAGCTGACATACATACATGTAGGTCGAACTGAAAGAGGGTGATATTTAGTAGCACTAAATGTATATAACAGGTAAATTTAAGTCTTCACTGGATAGGTTTTTATCTTACGTTAAGGTCAGATGAGACGTTCCTCAAAATCTGTTTTGTACATCTTCGTAATGTATGAAAAATATTCAAAATTTAAATAACATTCTGATTTCTTAATCAATTTCTAAACGTTTTTAAAAAATCCAAACACTTAAACATTTGAAAATGGAAAATTATTTCTCCTCCCCAAAGGATTATATAAGAATAATTACCGCTAGTATCTTGCAGAAATGCCTGGTAAGGTACCTCAATTTTTTGGGAGTAAACATGTTTAAGTGACAATTGTTCAATGACAAACTCTTAGAAAAATGTATCCATTATTAAGGAACGTCTCGTCTGTCCTTAAATACTCAGTATGTGCATGTACCAAAGGACCAAAGAAAACCATATGTTTCTGAAATCTTCATATTTCGAAATTTCTGACTACTTCTTTTACGTTTAAAAATAGACATTCAATTTGGTTTCTCCGCAATTTTAAACTAGCTTTCATCATTATTAAAATGTCTAATTTCGTGCTGTATATTTTAAGCAAAATTTAGGATTCCTCAACCGCTTTTAACATTGAGTATTTGGGAAAACTTTGGAGGGTTTTGCATACCATAGTTAATTTCTTATATGTACAGGAACATGATACTAAAATATGGTTGTTGTTTGCAATGCAACACACACTTAAATACTTATAATTTTGCTACTTCTGCAATCTGTGAAGTCGTGCCTAAATTTATTCAAACATTTTAAAGTGATTGATACACACTCATGTCATTGTCCAGTTAATCAAACATTTCACTAGTAGTTAAACCTTGCACGGAAGGAGAGGAGAGTATACTTTTCTACCCTTGCATGTCTATCTAACTGCCTGTGTGTATGTCCGAAACAAATTTTCTTCGCATTTTTCGACAACTCTTCATACTATATGCTCAATGCTTTTAACACACTCTTTGCATGTTATATGGTGGGATTTATTTTTTATGAATACAATGTAACCTAACTGCTTATATGTGTGTCTGATTGTTGATTGATTGTATATTGTTTAACGTCCCTCTCGAGAATTTTTTCACTCATATGGAGACGTCACCGTATGCCGGTGAAGGACTTCAAATTTAGACCTATACTCAGCACTCAGGGCCATTGAGCAGTGAGGGTTCTTTATCGTGCCAGCGCCTACCTTGATACGGGACCTACATATTTTAAGGTCATATCCGAAAGACCTGTGACTAACACTTCAAGTGTCGAGCGCTTGGCGAAGGAACAGTCACTACATAATTTGTTTACGTCTTAGGTATGACGCGGCGCCGCGAACGAAAATCGAACCCGGGCCTCCCGATCACGAAGCGAACGCTCTACCACTAAGCTACCGTGACTGGTCTTATGTGTGTCTGTATGAACTTAATTTCCATCACGGATTTCTAAGCAAATTCTTACTGCAGATGCTTTAAATTCTAGCACACTCTTTGCCTTAGCATGTCATAGTGAAAGATTGATTCATGAGAGTCTATCAAATCAAGGGTTACTGAGTATTGGATTGTACTTTTAATACATGTATTACATGTACAAGCATACCATGCGTTATGATGCACATAGATAAAATATAAAAGAGAAATTAATGGAATATAAATAACATGCTGTATGTTTGTTTGAGAGAAAAATCAACAACTTTGACACTAGAAACGACAGTTGCACTATACTAGTATAAAGACCAAGCTCAGACATTGTTTCATAGTGAAAATATCAATTGTTTAGGACTGATATACCTAAGTTACAGGTTATTGATTTAGGCTATGTTTCCATAACACGGATTGAACCTACCTTTTTTCTGTTCATGAAAACTCAATGCCCTCAGTAATCGGCTCTTTTCAACTTGATGTAAATTGGGGTTTTAAAGGATGTTGATGATGCAGTTCGTACCTCGATCTGTCCTTATTCTAGAACTTAAATACTCAATGATTTAATATAAAACTTAAATTCGACCTTGCAATGCAGTGTAACGTTATACATGTAAACACAATTAAGGTTATGGGAAATTTTTATTACTGTGATCATCTGCCATTTTAGGGATTTTAAGAAAAATTCAAGCACAATTATTGAAACCATCGGTGATAATCTGATGAAAATAATTAGCTACAACCCTCTCTCACTGACTGCCAGGCGCGGATCCAGGAATTGAAGTTAGAAGGAGGGCCAAAAGTAGGCAAGGGGTCTGGGGGCCGTCTTGAGGCCCCCATTGGGTCCAGAGCAAAGCCCCGGTGGGGGCCCATGCAGGGGGCGAGGCCCCCGGAAGCTCCTGGGTTCTGGAGATTTTGTAGGGTAACAATGAGGTCTACCACCACATGACCAAGTGGACATATTTTCATTTTCTGGACGAAACTGTGATTTACGTAAACTTTGAAAATTTTAGGGGGGGGGGGGCGCCAGCCCCCCCCCCCTTAAATCCGTAACTGACTGCAGAGCATAGTTCCTTAAGGGGAAGAAAGAGACTTAGCTGAAAATAATACCTGCAGTTCATTTTTTTCATATTTTGTATATCTCTAATTTAACATGTCCCACATACCCTAAAGGAAATATATCAATAGGTTTCTAGACTATTGAATGACAAATACTAAACCCCACTGTGTCGTAGTGGAGTCTTGATTCTCAATGTTTCTGGGCCCGTTACTCGGTCCGTAATGGATTTTTTCGGTATAGATAAAAATTATGTCAGCAAACATATGTCTCCTTAAATATTTTAGAGGATAAATAGGGTTAAAAATTCGAAAAAGCAATATCCTTTCGTCACACAGCATATGGAGACGGAAAATAACGTACTATTTGAGACAACTTAAACAACAATAAAATTAATTTGAAAAAATCCTATTATTCAATATTTTGAAAATTTACGTTGAATTGCAAGATCTTCATGTTATTGATTAGCTGTAAAAATATCGATTGGTGAAGAAGAGCTCAATATTGCACAGGGCATAGTTAAACAAGAAATTACTGAAATTACTACAAGAGAAGAATTTAGAATTTCAATTAAGCATCAAAGAATGCGTTAAAGTGAAACACATAATTCATTAGTAATATAACTTCCTTGAACATAGTCTGCTAACATTTAAAAAAGCGAATACATTTGCATTGTTTCCGTTGACAGGTTTATGTTTATCTCGCGTGCGATAGGATGTCAAGTGCTGGCTCTGTTATAAAAGATTGGGTAGAAATTTCAACAAAATTAGGGCATTACAAGACACATTTTTTTTTCTCAATAATACACTGTTTAAAGTTAAAGTGCTAAAATTCAGAAGTTTGATCGATGTTTTCCCAGTATGTTATCCGTTGGTAAATTTGTAACGAAAAATGCTAAATTTATTTTAAACTTTAAAATAGCATCTCTGTATGTGAAAACATTTATGAATATTTTTTCGATCATTTCAACCTTTGAAACAATGCTCAATTATGTTTTATATAGATGCCTGTCTGTGCATATTATGCATATAAGTGTTCACTATAAATCTATGTTTCTTTCCTTAAATTTTGCTCCTGTGCGTGCAAGTGACAATTTTTTGTTTTTTGTTTCTTGTTTTGTTTTCTTTTCTTTTTATTACACAATTTTCAATATTGATGTATTTGACTTATGAGGGTCTCTCAAAAAGTTGGCAGATTTTTGTTGGTTTTTTAGGCCCCATTTTACAACATGTTATATCCAAAGTTTGGAAAGCTTGAAAAGCGGGAGGGTATATAGTAATCAGTATGTCCGTCCCTCCGTCCGTCCGTCCGTCCGTCTGTCTGTCCGTCTGTCTAGCTGTACGTCCGTCTGTTACGCTTAGGGATACCCATCTTTTATCCGCCACTCCTTTTATACCACTGAAATAAATTTTATGAAACTTTCACAAAATCCTTATTACAAATTAACTTTATACACCTCTTATTCTTTTTTTTTTATCTGACATGCATTTCGGGTTTCCAACAGTAAACATGGACACTGCCATTATATTCATATTGAAGTCAGGGGTATCATTTTCTGAGCTCATTGCTCACAGTACCTCTAGTTTACAAACACATTCTATTAATTTGTGTTAAAAAATGGAAAATATCTTCAAATTTATAAAAAGAAAAATTATCGAAGATTTAGACCTGCAAAATTGGGGTCACGGAGCAACATTGAGTAGTTAACTAATTTTCACTTTATGGTATATATAACCATACCTCTTATAAATGGAGCTGAAACAAAATACAATATATATGTTAAATTAAATTTAGGATTGTTTTATCAATTAAGATGTTATTG